AAGCATTTGCTCCTGTTTTATTCATATGAGTCAATATACAGGGTGTCCCATTTAAAACAAATACCTGATATTCTACGGCAACTTTTTTCTGGCTCACACTGTGTATGTGAAATTATTTATCTATATATATAAAAATGAATGCCATTTTTCGTTGTAATTTTATAACTCAAGAACAGGCTCACCTAGCCAAACCAAATGTTTAGGCTTTGTTCGGACTATTTATTAGATGGTTTATGTGAAGTTTGCACAAAATCGGTCGAGCGGTTCTTCATTTATCACATTTTTTGTAATAAATGAATTATTCAATAAATGGAGGATCATTTTGTTAATGGGGATTTTGCTGTCAAATTGAAACTTTTTTCAGCGTTGACAGTACCAGCATGTTGTTATGTCATCAATGTGGTCATTTCATTACTTATTTTATTTATTTATGAAAAAAATTTACTAAGCCCGCATACTGCACCATCTCTTATAACCGATACCAAGTTTATTTTGTATACCGCGCCATCTCTGATACCTGGAACGAAGCTCGGCATTGCAGATACAGTAGAACAATGCTGCTCAGGAACTGGAGCTATTTCGAACAGAACTATTCCACTATTCCGATCAGATAGAGTGGTGCAGAAAGAGTAGATCAGATAGAGTAGTGCAGATAGAGTAGAACAGATGGAGTAGTGCAGTGCAGATAGAGTGAAATAGGGCTGCGCTAGAGATTTTTTTTGTTTTCTTTACATTCTTTGAACATTCCTGTGCCTGAGTTTATTTATTTGGTGGTACACTTTACAAGAATAATGCCCACAAGCTGCCTAAAAAAGGATGATTTAAAATTTTAATTTTAGGTGACTTCTGATCCAGAGAGTAAAAATTAGTTTTCTTCGACCAAAGCCAAATTCACCATCGAAAAAAACTGAATTTAATTCAGTTAATTATAGATACGTTAACACAACATTTAATAGGTATATTTAATAATTCAGAGGCGGTACGAAGTTCGCCGGGTCAGCTAGTATTTTATAAATTCTAGTTAACCCTACAACATAGAGTTTGCTACAACTTTGCTATACATGTAATGTATTAAAATGTCACATAATTCAATTTTTGGAAAATGATCTAGAAAATTCCATGACCATATGGCCTTACGACAATGACGTACTACAATCTGTAGGATATGGATCAATAAAAATCATTGGATCAGAAACATTTCAAATGTTGACCCAGGATAAATCCAGAGATATTAACCTATAATAGTTAATAAACTAACAATTTGTATATACATCGATTTCGGAAATCGCATAAGATTTCGACAATTTTCAAAAAATGTCGAAAGATATCGGATATTCGACTTTCAACGCTGTACCAAGATTTCGAGGATTTCAATACATTTATTGGGATCTCAGAAAGATTTCGGTTGAGATTTCAGAAGGATTTCGGTTGAGATTTCAGCAGGATTACGGTTGAGATTTCAGGAGGATTTGTTGAGATTTCCGAATCTCGGAAGGATTTTAGTTGAGATTCCGGGATTTCAGAAGAAGAATTTCGGTTGGGATTTCGGGATTTCATAAGGATTTCGGATAGGATATCGCTGTTCGCGATTTTCAATGGATTTCGGAATTTCCAAAGGATTTCGAAAGAATTTTTCAAGGGATTTCGGATGAACAATTTCAGAAGATTTTCGTGATGGTTTTAGTGCAACTTCAACAGTTTTGCAGTTAGTTGCAAAGTTTCAAAGTCTTTCTTGACTTAGAATTTTATCCAAAATGACACCAACAAACAACATTTTGTCTCACAACTTTGTTAATTTCGATCCGATCTTAATGTAATTATGCTTCAATTGAAGCCAATGAAATTCTCTACAAATCTCCTGTGAATAATTTCAATGCAACTTCAATAGTTTTGCAGCTACAAAGTCTGAACTTAGATTTTTATTGAGCTCACTCGCCACAATTTGTACATCGATTTCGGAAATCGCATATATTTCGAAAATGTTCAAGGGATTTCGAAAGATTTCGGATATTCGACTTTCAACACCGTACCACTAAGGATTTCGATTTCAGAAGGATTTCGGTTGGGATTCCGGAATTTCGGATAGGATTTCGCTGTTCGCGATTTCGGATGAAAATATACAGCGATTTCGGGAGGAAGTCGCCCCACGTAAAATTCTAACCATTGGAAAACTCTGCCAATATGTAAAGACAACAATATTTAACATTACACATTGGAATTACTTATTACTTCAAAAAGGCATGTAATGCGCAATACATGTACAAATTTTGGTCCAGTTGTAATCCCCTCGGCTGTAGGTGGGGTGTCAATATATAAAAAAATACCCTGTACAAATGAGTGGATTATTGCGGAACTTATGGGTGGACCTCTGCGGGACGAGCGCAGCGAGTTCCTCAGCCATCTATTCATCAATACGTTGTTTAATTACGATACTAAACTGACTCACTCAAATGTGCGTTATTCTCATTAGTTTAAAAATTACACGTTTCAAGGGAGTGTCTTACTTGAATAGTTCAACAGTATATTGGTGATTAGATGGCTGCGGAACTCGCTGCGCTTGTCCCGCAGAGGTCCAACAATCCACTTATTTGTACTTGAAAAATAACTTATTATATAAAGTCAGAATTTGTAAGATTATCCACTTTTTGTCAATTTGCCTTTCAACAGGAATTAGTAATGTTACTTTACCAAACTAGTAACATAATGTGACAAGTTATTCAAGTACAAACGAGTGGATTGTTGCGGAATTTATGGGAGGACCCAGTCATCTATTCACTAATATGTTGTTCAAGTACAATACTAACCTGATTCACTCAGTTGAGAATTTTTTTCATTAGTTCAAAAACCACACGTTTCAGGGGAGTGTCTTATTTAAATAGTTCAACAGTATATTGGTGAGTAGATGGCTGCGGAACTCGCTGCGCTCGTCCCGCAGAGGTCCACCCATAAGTTCCGTAATAAGCCACTTATTTATACAAGGTGTTTTTTTATATATTGACACCCCATCATTGCACCCCACCTACAGCCTTTAATTTCACAGGTAGAAGAAAGGTGTAAATATAAAAGTTGTACGTACAGTTTTGGCTGAATTTTTAGAAACCATATTCAGAAACAAAATCTGAATGGAATGTCAGAAATGTGAAATTTTGCATGCTTTTTGAGGTTAAAGTTCTTGGGAAAAAGACAAAAGTGTGATTTTTTATAGGTTTCCAACTTTCTAAACATTCCTAAAACTTAAAATATGGTTTTGTTTTCTTTTTTTTTTTTAAATTTTATCATTTTATTTTAATAAGGGGGGGCAATTCCCCTTCTGCCACACCCCTGTATCCGCCACTGACTCGTAATGGCAACAGATATACAGGACAAAAAAAAAATCGTTTTATGAAATCCCTCATATCTTGTTAATTATAAAAGATACAATCAAGAAGTTCAAAGAAGTTTATGACAGATTATTTGTAGGCACTTGATTACGCAATTTTTTCTACATTTGGTGCACCCTGTATATTCATATTCAATGGTTTCCAAAATCCCCATGTCTTTCAAGTTGCCGCGTGGACTGTAAATTTTACTTTGCGGCGCAACCTCTAAATAATGAAAAAAAGGACTTACCCAGTGATTTCGTAAGTGCTATTCCTGGTCGGGGATTCTAAAATCACGATTCGACATACGACTCGACAGCGAGACGATTTTCCCGACGATTCTAGGCTAGAAATCTCATTGGAATTATACCTTTCGAGACGACAAGGCCGGTATCGTTGTCGAGTCGTGTGTCGAATCGTGATTTTAGAATCTCGGCCGCAGGGCCCTGCTCCATACGTGCACTACGGACTAAGATTCTAATTTTCAATTAGGGGTTACGGAAATTGGTTGATGGTTGCTGCGACACGAATTTCACAAGGAGGCTTCCATACCAAATGTATCGGGTTTCTGAGCAAGTATATACAGTGTGTCCACTTAAGTTCGCAGCATATGGGAAACTTTTTTATCATCAATTTTACGAAAAAAAGTTATTCTTTATAAAAGTTTCTGCTTCTTGAAAAAATACTATTAAACTATTGAAACTTGAAATAGCACGTACAGGGTGGTCAAAAAATAGAAAAATATACAGGGTGTTTCCGAAGTTCGGTTCGTAACTTCAGGATGTGATTCCTTACAATTTTAAGAAAAAAAGTTCCCATAAACATGTGTCCGGAAATGCGTAGTTTCTGAGATACACGGTGTCAAAGTTTTAGAGAAAATCGTTTTTCTAGCTCAAAAATTCCTTTTCCATTTTTTTTCTCAAATTTGGCAGGTTTGTTTGAGATAACGAAAGGTATCCTTTGACTGTAATATGACTTGCTTAATCTGAAAAAAATATCAAAAGTTTAAAAAAATAGTCACGTGCCATTTTTTTTCCACTTTTACCAAAAAAACCGGTACATTTTTCTATTTTCTGACCACCCTATACATGCTATTGCAAGTTTTAATAGTTTAAAGTATTTTTTCAAAAAGCAGAAACTTTTATAAAGAATAATTTTTTTTCGTAAAATGGATAATAAAAAATTTTCCCATATGCTGCGAACTTAAGTGGACACACTGTAGAATACTCATTTTGAGTCGTATGTCCCACCATCAAAATCTAGAGGTGCCATTATTTGCGCGGAAACAAAAAATGCAAGAAAACCTTTTATGTATAAGAATTTATACCTCTACCAAATTGTATTAAATTTTTTTAAAAATAAAGACGAAACGCCCAGAGATATTGTCTAAGAATTAGATCGTGTGGATAAAGATTTGATATCTAGATTCTGGATCAGATACAAAGAATAATAATATACTAGATATAGAAATCTATGCTATGAGCAAAATGAAGCTATAATCAAAAATTCATCCAGTAGGTATCTAGTAGCTGTATATTAGTAAACTTTGATAATAGTAACAGTGGAAAAATACTTGCCAATGAATAAAAGTAATGAACATTTAGAGCTGTAGAAAATATAGATGGAAAACAGAAAAACAAATTGTTTCAATAGCGATTTATTACATAATATTTCCATTTTATTGTTAACATTAAATAACATACTACATAAATAATACAATATTTTTTTTTTACACAATGTCAGATAATAGCTGTAACAAAATAGCTTGTATACTCGTTTTGCAAGCATATCAGATAAACGAGGAGTCTGCTAACATTTTATAGCAAATACCATTATAAATAACACAGTATAGAACAAACGAGATTTTTCTTTTAGTTAAAGTGATATTGGTATTGATGATATTCCGTATTATTACATCAAAGTCCCATATTTACAAACATTTTATATCAATACAAAAAATATTGAAGACAAACCTTCCAGTAAAAAATAAAATTATATAACACTTATATAATATTTGTTATCTTTTAAACATTTATCCACTTCATCTCTCGTTAGAATAAATAAAATAAGGAATGATTTTTGTTTAAATATAATTTTTAAAATCGATTCAAAAAATCTTTGGTTAAATTCATAATAAAAACAGGAATTTACTTATATAAAATATGCCAAAATTATTAACAAAAATAAAGAATCAAACGATTTTTGTTGTAGATACTTAATACACAACCTTTCATTTTTTTTTATTTACTATATTTGTCAAAGAAGAGTTCTTGTTTATATAAAATTGTATCTACCAATCAGACAATATAAATAGCTCAACAGGCCAGCCTTTTGAGAAAATTTTCTCAGCAAGAACTCCTTTTCGGCAAAACATATTATTATCTATAATATTTAGTGCAAATCCACTAAATCTACAGTCTATTATCTGTAGATTCAAAGGATGAATCAGATACCATTAAAATAAAGGGCACAAAGCTTACAAGGCCAAAAGATCTTCCTCTTTTTTCTTAGTCTCTTTCTTTATTGTATTTGGGTTAGTCGAACCTGTAGCTGCAGGTACTGTGGGAAGGTTCTCAGCTGCTGCAGCCCGTTCAGCAAGGAACCGTTCAAAATCACTCGATGTTACAGATTCTTCTGCGCCACCCTGAGATTAATTTGTGTTTAAAATGAAGTTTCATACAAGATAAAGACAATAATGAAATAAACCAAACAGCCAATAGCTACTTACTGTTTTCCCCAACCAACTAGCCATCTCGCTCAGTTCTCTATCTTCGTCCGTCTAAACCAACACATAGAAAATACACAAAAAGCACAATCAATAAGAATACAATAACATAAGAATAAAAGAAAATATAATGTTTTTAAAGATGCATAATACCAGATGAAGAGAAAAGGGAAAATACAACATTAATAGATACCAGGCATTAGAATTATTTTTTTCCTATCAACTTACCTCTTGATGCGCTGCTGCTGTTCCATGTGCCATGGAGCTAAGGCCTCCGGAAACTTGGTCTGGATTCAGATTGTCTTTGTATGTGCTGCCACTAATGGAAAGAATAGTAAATTAAAGTCATAATTATATTTCAAAGTCGTAACTAAAAAAATAAGATTATTTACCTTTTTTTGGAACTCTCATAAGTTACATTCCTGGATTGGGCAAACATATCAAACTCGTCACTGCTCCTCTTATTAATAGAAAGGTTTGGTCCATCTCCTAAGGCTACAAACAATATTAGAACTAATTTATATTAATTATATATTAATTTTTGTCAAACCTAATTTATTAACAGAGTCGGTAATATCGTCGTCCAAATCAATAAGGCTATCCTCATTTTTCAATTTGGCTTTTGTTACAGTAGGTGGGATAGCCTTGGCCACCACCTCTGAAGCGCTTAGGCCTTGGGGTCCTCGATTTTTCTCCCAACGACTGTACCTATAATAATAATTGATTCTCTATTATAATAAATCCCTTTATTTATATAAAACCGGTTACCTTAAAAATAGATTATTCATATCATCATTTATCCTCAACAATTCTTCAGTCAACGCATCATTGGTAATAGTCGAAATCAATGATACAAGCCTTTGCTGCATACTTTGACAAACAAGATGAAGCTCTTGCAACAACTCCAATTCGTCTCTCTCCTCGTGGCCAGGTTTAACTTCGCTCAACATCTCGCCCAAAACGTTCATGTTGCTTTCGACAACGTCCAACTCTGACTGCAATTTAGCTCTTTGCTCCGGAGTCAAAGGTCCGCCATTTGCGGGTGAACCCAACAAAGGTGGTACCGGGCTAGTTGAAGGCGAGGGTCCTGCGTGCGGAGGCTTCGGAGCGCTGGCCGGAGGTTCTGTAGTGAGGACGCTTTTCCTGGGAGTGTGAATTGGGGCCAAACTGTCCAAATCTGTCGGCGGAAATTCGATGCCTTTGGCTAGCAAGTCTTTGTAGACTATGTTGACGCCTAAAAGGTCTTGGTCTGATTGGAATGCGCTCGCCCAACATTGGATTAGGCTTAGGACTTTTTCTTGTACGGCTGTTGGTGGTTCATGTTTGGGGCTTAACAATTTCACCTGTGGAATTTTTTTGAAATTTATTCAGATAGGTAGGTATATGATTGCAATTATGACAGATAATGGTAAGATCTTTAGAGCAGGGTAAGATGTTGAAATCTGTAATTATTAAATTCATTGCATTTCAAAATTTATATTCTGCAGAAATGCTCCTAGAAATGCAACCACAGAAGGCATATTCTAAATAACACTTCAAGAGACTGGAAATGAAATTTAAAATCTAAGAGAATGGTTTGAGATGACGAAGAATCAACTAATCAGAAAAGCTGTGGTGAAAATAAAGTAGTGATTGAACTTGGACATTTTTCTCATCATCTCATCACGCTCATGATTATTTTCAGTACTTAGTTGACAGACAAACTAAGTAAATATGTAACTAGTTTCTATATTATTGTCATTATGTATATACCTATCCTATAAGTACATACATGAAACTTAAATAATATTAAAAAAATTCTTACTAGTTCTTGGACAAAATCCTTGCTGCAGGCCAATAAATGAAACCGTTTTCCGCAATTTTTGACGCAAGTCTCCAGGATGGTTAGAGTGTACATGATTACCGTGTAATTCTTGCCTGCGTTTTGGGTCAAACGCTTTTTGATGGCTCTTATAGCATCTTTGGGGCCTTCTTCAGTTTCGTTGATTATATCGCAAATTTCCATGTTTAAGGCCCAGTTTTCCGATGCTAAGGTACCATCTGTAGCTTGTTCTGTTCAGAGAAATTTGCTTATTTATTTATTTATTCACAAACTCAACAGATTTACATTGAATTACAGAGTAGGTGTTAGGAACTGGCAAACTTGTGGAACTTGGTTTACTTTGTTAACATGATTTAACTGACATATCTCAAATCTCAATTTCATTAACTCTTTCTTTAACTTTTTCCAATCCTAGGTTAAAAATATCACATTCGTCTCTAAATTGGTCATTAAGTTTACACATTGAAATAATGGGAGAATAGCTGTAATAATTTGTTCCGAGTATTTTATCTACATAAAATGTGAGTGGATTTCTACTTCTGTAGTTTGGTACATGAAAGTTGAGATACGCGATCAGATCAGGATCCGCAATGAAATTAATAACTAGTTCATACATAAACATAATGGAAGCAATTTTTCTCCGATTATCTAAAGATTTTAGATTGTTAAGTTTTCGTTATCTATTCTGGGTATATGCAATCTATACTCACCACTTTCTTTAAAATGTATATTATCTTAAAAATTTGTTTTGTACCTTTTCTATGTCATATTTACAGTTTTTATAGTATGGATTCCATACCACTGAACAGTACTCTAAAATACTTCTAACATATGCCACATAATATAATCTTTTTATACAGTCTGTGTTTCGAACCATCCTACAGCTCCATTCTACAAATCCATACCTACATTCCAAGAGCCTTATTGACTATATAAGAAACATGTAGCTTAAAGCTTAATTGGGAGTCAAAGATAATTCCAAGATTCTGCATTTTACCAACCTCTTGCAACACCGTCTCATTTATCTTATACTGAAATTTTGAACTCATATTTCTTTTCTTAGTGAAGTGAACAACATAACATTTGCTGATATTACAATGGAGATTATTTGCATCAGACCATTGATAAACCTTATTCAAAATTTCCTGTAGTATTTGGCAATCTCGATCACGTTCAATTTTCAAGTAAAACTTCAAGTCATCAGCAAACATTAAGATTTTTGAAATTTGTTATTTCCTTCACTATACTATCAACAAAGGGCAAACCACCTAGGAATTCTTTGTCAAAAGTGTGGGAAATTTAGAGGAATTTATTTATGGGGAATTTGAAAGAACTCGTCAGAATTTATGAGAATTTGGGAAATATATAGGGAATTTAGAAAAATTTATAAGGAATTTGGAGGAATTTGTGAAGAATTTATGAGGAATTTATGAGGAAGTTGAAGGAAATTGTACAGTCACACTGAGGTTCACATTCTTATTATAAGGACCACTAATAAATGGAAATTAAAAAAAAAATCTAGTTTTTTGTTGAACGACAGAAAAGAAATTCTCCCAAAATTACACTCCATGATTTAGAGGTCCAAATTTAAAAAATTCAAAACCATAATATTTTTGTAGGCTGATTTCCATAATTCTTCATGTTGTTATTTTCCACTGGAAAAATTTGAAATTTTGGGAAAATGAGCTTCCAACCTTCCTCTTCGCATGTAAAAAGTTTCAAATTTTTCCGTTTACTAGTTTTCCAGGAAAACTTCTAAATGTGTGAGAGTGTATTTTCAATTAATTCAGTTATTATAGGTTGATTTCCAATATTCCTTGTGTTGTTATTTTCAAATGGATAAATTTGAAATTTTGGGAAAATGAACCTTTAACCATTCTACTCTTCACATGCAAAAAGTTTCAAATTTTTTCTTTCACTAGTTTTCCAAGAAAACTTCTAAATGTATGAGACAGTATTTTCAACTAATTCAGTTTTTGTAAGTGGATTTCCAAGATTCTTCATGTTGTTATTCGCCACTGGAAAAATTTGAAATTTTGGGAAAATGAGCCTTTAACCTTTCTACTCTTCACATGCAAAAAGTTTCGAATTTTTGCCTTTACTAGTTTTCCAAGAAAACTTTGAAATATGTGAGACTGTATTTTCAGTTAATTCAGTTATTGGAGGTTGATTTTCAAGATTCTTCATGTTGTTATTCTCCACTGGAAAAAGTTGAATTTTCGGAAAACGAGCCTCTAACCTTCCTGTTTGCATATTAAAAGTTTCAAAATTTTTCCTTACTTAAATAGTTTTCCAGGAAAACTTGAATTGTTTATGAGATTATATTAACAATTATTTCTGTTTTTGTAAGTTGATTTCCAAAATTGTTCATGTTATTTTCCACTGGAAAAATTTGAAATTTTGGGAAAATGAGCTTCTCCCCTTCCTCTTTACATGCAAAAAGTTTAAAAAAGGACCCCGCACACATCTTATGGGTTTTTGGTTTTTCATGTCGTTATTTTCCACTGGAAAAATTTGAAATCTTGGGAAAATGAACTTCTCATCTTTTTCTTTACATACAAAATGTTTCAAAATTCCCCTTTCACTAGTTTTCCAGGAAAATTTTGAAATGTGTTGTGTGAGACTGATGTATTTTCAATTAATTCAGTTATTGTAGGTTGATTTTCAAAATTCGTCATGTTGATATTTTCTACTAGAAAAATATGAAATGAATTGAATAATTGGATAATTGAAAAACAATTAAAGTGAACATTTATTAGTTAGTTCTGACATTGTTTCAGAAGGAAGATTGAATAAACTTCTAAAGCGCATTAATTATGATTTTAGAAGAGGTACAAAATCTCCTTAAAAATGACCCTGAGTGCAAAACTGCAAAAGAAGTTCAAGCTACTTGAAGTTGATACCAGTTTATCTATATCCAAATCCGAGTATGTATCGTAGCATCATATTATAGAAAAAAGGCTGAACATTGAAAAAAGGGTTTACTTATTTCCAAATTATTGAAAAAAAAATTAGACACATTCATTTGCTGAGGTTCGGATTAAATTTATTGTTTATGTCTTGAAAACTTGTTCAATTTTTAGGAAAAGATCCATTTGAAAAAAAAAAAAAGAAATGATATACCTATTTACCCTCAATATTGTGAAACAATATACACCTAAAGTTCGCCTTACGAGTCTAGCACTATAAAAAGAATGCGGATAAAAAAAATTCAATATTGCCTATTTGACTTCCAATAGAAAATACCTTCTCGTAATTATCTATGTTACACACCTACATTTATAAGGAAAAAATAATATTTAAAAACGCTGCACGCACGCCTATGACAGGCAGCATAAAGCTCGAAATCAATGGCGTTATTCCCCCTTGCCCTTCAGACGTCGTAGTGCTAGACTCCTAAGGCAAACTATTCTTATCACGAGCAATTATTGAGATTTTTAGAGAATTTGTAAGAGACATTTGTGGGAAATTTGCAGGAATTTGGAGGAATTTGCAGGGAATTTAGAGGAATTTGTGCGGAATTTGGAGGAATTTGCAGGAATTTTGAGGAATCATGCTTAAAAAATTCCCCTTTGAGGAATTGTTTGCACAAATTCTGGGAGAGTGGTTTACCCCTTCACTATCAATGAACAGCAAACAAATAATGATCCAAGGTTTGATCCCTGCAGGATACCTAAAGTCGCCACCAAAGTATTTGAGTCTCGATTTGAGTAGTGTCCTATGTGTAAATATGAATCAAAGAAACCTATCAAATTATCACTGAACCCGAACTCTGCACGGAGTTTTCTTAATAGAACATTGTGTGAAACCCTATCAAAGGCTTTTGCAAAATCAGTGTATATAACAACAACTTGGCATTTGCTGTCCCGACCTCAGTATAATGTGACTGTTGACTTATTGCTCAGGAAACCATGTTGTTCAGGACTAATTTCATTTACTACTGAACTATACACATATTTATAAATTATACCTACTTTCAAATATTTTGGCAGGGCAAGATAATAATGAAATGGGCCTATATTTTTTGATATCTGATTTGTCGCCATTCTTAAAAACAGGGATTACCTTAGATAACTTTCATATATCCAGAAAAGTGCTTGTTTCAGTGATAGATTGAACTTAACATGAACTTATGAATTAGAAAATCAACTCTTCATAATTTTGATGTTGCTATTTTAATGTAATAATAAGAAATTCAGGGTTGGCAAATAAATATCGAAAATCCAATTTTCTATCCACTAGTATAATACAATTAGTTGGATTTTTGCCAACCCTAGAAATCGGATTCCTACTATGGTTGAGCATGAGATTGGGAGCAAAAATTTTAAAAATGATGACTTCACTCCTAACCGAGCTCCTAACTAATTTTCCTATACTTAATATGATCAACAAGCAACAACTATGATAGTCAATAAATAGTCTCATTAAGAAACTGTTAACAAGCAATACCTACCAGAGGAAACATAATATTATAATTATTGTGTCTTTTGATAGAATAGAATTGCTGGAAGTAGAGTAGTCATGCATTTTAAGCATGACTAATTTTCACGGTATTCGATCCAAGGAGATTGATTACCAGCACCCGCCTTAAAGCCTAGCAGCATTTCATTTTGTTGAATTTTACCATTATTTTATAAATAACTAGGTACAAATTCTAGATGTTATGATTCGTCCTTAAACATTATTATAAAAATAGATTGTTTCCCTCTTATAGGTCGAGATGTAGTAAAACTAATTTTGACGCTATAAAATTCGTCGTCGAACTGCATTATTTTGCTATTCGACCACAGTATGAAATATTAGTTATTAGTTAATAATAGTCATACATCGCCTCACCTTGTTGGTGACAAAAACTCGTAAATTTTGCGGTATAGTAATTAAAAATATAAGTCACATATCGTTGATATTATTTCAGATAAAAATGTTAACATTGCAATCTTCAAAGTCAAGGTATTTCCAATGAGTCATAAAACAGTGAAAAGTGCAAAATGTTAATTTTTTCAATTGAATCACAGTTTAATTGTTTTTTTACTTGAAAATAAAAATTAAAAAATAGTTGATTTTGAAATAAACTAAATTGTGTCTAGACAATTCTGTATACAGTTAAAAATTATTAAACAGTGCAAAATACAATAAAAATCTTTGAACCAAAACAAACAAGATTATCATCTATTGGCTATGTGGGAGTTAAATTTTTGAAAAGTCCTTTTATGGTAAAACTTCTTACCAATTTTGCCTCCAACAAGAGTGGAGAACGGGTTCCCGATTAGGGCGTTCTGTATAAACGAAGACATTTCAATTTATTTGTTTCCCGCAGACACTTTTTTGGTGATTCAAAATTAAAAAATAATGAAATCGCAAAAAATTTTCTATTTTGCTTTTCTCTGTAGGATTCCCTCTGTCACTGTCAATGTCAATAATTGTTGAAGCTTGTGCATGATCGTCATATATCTTTGTTAGACAGAGAACGCATGATTGTAGTATCTAATTTAGGTTATCTTATTCTACCACGAAGGTGCGCCTTATTCAAGAATTTAATTGTGGAAATTTAAAATCCTTATAAAACTTGAGGCCTAATAAATATTGAAAATGTAAACCTTTTTATTTTATTATTGCCTTTTCGATTTTCTTTAGGTTTTCACAAGCGTTTTCTACCCCAGGGAAATTAGACTTCCTCTGCGGAATGAGGCCGAACAAGCTGAATTTTTGCAGAGACCTTCGTTTTGATGTCCTAATGAAGCACAAAAAAATCGAATATGCCTACCCTTGTGCGTCTTGAGATATCGAAGGTCAAAGGTCACGAAAATTGTTTTTTTGCGATTATACAACTCACTGTATATTATTCCCATAATATGTCATATGACACGAGAGGCTTAAAAAGTGATAAGCCTTTTGGGATTATCGCGCTTGGTGGCATATATAGCAAATTCTATTATATAATTTTTTTTAAACTTTATAGATAGTATTTAAGTTTAGTTCGTTGTATAACCTTTTGAATACCACTCGATGTTCCAGGATTACCTAATACTTTCGCCTGACACTCAATGCTTTACCAGCAACACTACTCCTCCTTCGGAGTCGTGGTGTCATGGCCGGATTAAGCTTTCATGGGGCCCGGGGCTAGTGAAGTTTTAGGGGGCCCTTCATAAATTAAGTGCAAAAAAATATACAGGGTGTCCCGCGACGTTTTTCCCAGGTAATAACTTCGGAACGCATCATCCAATACCAATATAATTGAAATTTTGAAGATGTGGCTAACTTTTTATGCCGCTTCTACCATCGTCATCCAATTTCACCACTTTCGCTTCAATTTCGGTCAAGTGACGTCAACTTTCGAATCTTAAATGTGACTCATGGTATATTATGGCAATTTACGTTAGAAAATTAAATTACAAAATCGTCAATGCTAGTTTGTTAAGGCTTTGTTAAAGAAAATGATAAAAAATTATACAGTGGAACATACGATGATGCGTTCCGGAATTATCATTTGGGAAAAACCGCGTGGGACACCCGACACCCTGTATATAGAAAAAGACTATATTCCTGATATAACAGTCTGACACTGCTATACCTATAATTATCTATTCACAATCCGATGCCCAAAGGTAAAGGTAAAATTTATCACCTTTCAGTGCTATTTGATAGGAAAAGGTGATACATTTACCTTTATCTTTGGACTACGGATTGTGAATAGGATATACATGTTTAACAAAATTATGTCAAAATATCTTTTTTCTACTACCGTGCGTAAAGTACTCATTTTACGCACTATTCAGAAGACGTAAAATTACACTTCACGCACTAGTGCGTAAAGTAATTCACTTCACACACTAGTGCGTAAAGTAATGTCAATGACAGATGTCATCATTGTCAATTTAGTATTTTTCTGGTAAATTACTTCACGCACTGGTGTGTAAAGTGAAAATACTTCAGGCACTAGTGCGTAAAGTATTTATCTAAATCTATTTTTTTAAACATATTTGATTGGTAGTAGAAAAAAATTTGTATGGAATACGTGCGTAAAACACCTTTTTTCACTCATGTGATTGTCAAAATTCACATTCGTGAAAAAAGGTTTACTTTACACACTTGTTGCATAAATAACTATTTTCTACTACCGTGCGTAAAGTACTCACTTTACACACTATTCAGAAGATGTAGAATTCCACTTCACGTAGCAGTGCGTAAAGTAACTCACTTCACACACTAGTGCGTAAAGTAATGTCAATGACAGATGTTGACAACTGTCAATTTGGGATTTTTCTGGTAAATTACTTCACACACTAGTGCGTGAAGTATTTGTCTAAATCTATTTTTTGAACATATTTGATTGGTAGTAGAAAAAATTTTGTATGCAATACGTGCGTAAAGCTCCTTTTTTCACTCATGTGATGTCAAAATTCACATTCGTGAAAAAAGGTTCACTTCACACACTTGTTGCATAAATAACTATTTTCTACTACCGTGTGTAAAGTACTTTACGCACTATTCAGAAGACGTAAAATCTCTCTTCACGCACTAGTGCGTAAAATAGTTCACTTCAACACTAGTGCCTAAAGTAATGTCAATGACAGATGTCGACCTGTCAAATTACTATTTTCTGGTAAATTACTACAGGCACACGTAAAGAATTTGTCTAAATTTATTTTTTCACACATATTTGATTGGTAGGTAGTAGAAAAATCTTTGTGTGCAATACGTGCGTAAAGCACCTTTTTTCACTGATGTGATTGTCGCACTCGCCTTTGGCTCGTGCGTCAAAATTCACATTCGTGAAAAAGGGATCACTTCACACACTTGTTGCATAAATAACTATTTTTCCTACAGCCGTGCGGAAAAATCGATTTTCCGCACTGATATGCGTGCGGAAAATGAGTTTTCCCGCACGGTGCGGTAAAACTTTTTTTTTGACATATCATTTTACCGCACTGATATGTCAAAAAAAAAGAAAAATTTTACATTTTTTCGCCTGTAGGAAAAATATTGTACCTAACACTTGCGGAAAATATTTTTCCGCACTTGTTAGGTAAATAGCTATTTCGTAGGTAACTTAAATTTACCGAACAAATTCTTGTATGACATCAGTAAATTCTAATTCCTTCAGAATGTCTCTGTAGTCTTTCTATGCACATCAATGTTAATGAAGACAGGCGTTCCTTCGGCATTGTTGTTCTATATTTATTTTTAATTTAATAAATTTTGCGAAACATGACGTGAAAGACTAGTGCATCTAATATTTATTGTTTATCCACGGGCCCTTGACCAGCAGAACCTCAATTTCGAAAGCGGGGCCCGGGGCTGCAGCCCCGTTAGCCTCCCCCCCTTAATCCTGGCATGCGTGGTGTTGCTGCGTAACGCGTTTCGTGACAGGTAAAAGTATTATCCGGTAATCCTGAAACCTCTTGTGCTATTACCTTCGAAAATCTCACTTCCAGTGCATCTGACGTCAAAGAACCCGGACTAAACCTTACGTAAAATAGTATTTTCTACAAAATTATTCATATACATTTTTTTGTACGACCAACCGTTTTCGAAATTAGCGTGATAAAGCGGGAGCGTGCATTCAAAATAGGTAATACTGTATTATACAGGGTGTCACCGTTCAACTGGTCAAAAATGCTAGGGTATATAGAGGAACCATAGAGAAGTAATTTGAGATAGGACACCGATGGTCGGAAGTGCGTCGTTTCCAAAATACAGGGTGTTGAAATTTAAACAACCCCCTCTCATATCATCTGAAGGGCTGATGCTAGGCTGTTCAAATTTCCAGGGATTATTGATGTAAGTATGATATTTAAAAATTCGTATGAGGCACCCCCATTTTCTGGAACCATCCCAAAAAAATAAATAGAAATAGTATATTGTTTTATTAGGAGTAAAAGTGATACTTTTTGTGGCGAGACTAAATGTTTGACGAGCCACAAAAAGTGCTTTTCTCCGAATAAAACATATGCGATTTTTTCCGCAAACAGTGTTCAAAGCGATGGAATCTAGGAAATTTCTGTGACGTCACTTTTTTGTCCGGCCGTGAGCGTACAAAAAAGTACGTTTTTGTACGCTCACGGAACGCGCGGACGAAAAAGTAACCAAAAAAATGACGTCTGTGAAGTCTTACTTCAACATTAAGAATTGAGGTTGAAAAAGTCGTCGTTTTTTGACGTTTGCGGAAAAAAGCAATTTTTTCCATTTTTTTCTTTTTTTTGGGGTAGTTCTAGGTAGAAAATGGGGTGTCATTACACGAATTTTTAAATATCATTCCTACATCAATAATCCCTGAAAATTTGAACAGCCTGGCATAAGCCCTCCAGATGATATGAAAGGGGGTTATTTAAATTTCAACATCCTCTATTTTGGAAACGACGCACTTCGAACTATCGGTGTTCTCTCTCAAATTATTTCTCTATGGTTCCTCTATATACCCCAGCATTTTTGACCAGTTGAACGGGGACACCCTGTATAATACAGTATCACCTATTTTGAATATGCGCTCTCGCTTTATCATGCTATATTCCGAAAACGGTTGGTTGTATAATAAAATGTATAGAAACAATTTTGTAGAAAATACTATTTTACGTAAGTTTTGTGTTGAGTTTTTTGACGTCAGATGCACTGGAAACGAGATTTTCGCAAAAAACGATTTTCGTGACCTTTGACCTTCGATATCTCAAGACGCACAAGGGTGTATTCGATTTTTTTGTGCTTCATTAGAACATCAAAACGAAGGTCTCTGCAAAAATTTAGCTTGTTCGGCCTCATTCCGCAGAGGAAGTCTAATTTCCCTGGGGTAAAAGATGAAAGCACACATCTTATGGGTTTTCGAGGACCGGTCGTTATTTTTTTTAAAATTTGGTATGTTGTAGTACTAGCAAAAATAAGCATTTTTCATCATTGCACCAAATCTCTAAGTATACAGGGTGACTCAGTAAAGTGGATCCAAAAATCATAACACAAGCCTCTTAATAGTCGATGTTAGCGGACCCTGCAAGCTACTTATCGGGATTTTTGTTTTCAATTTCGCAAATAAATAGTCTAGATAACCTAATATACTATACAGGGTGGTTAAGCTTGCGTGTTCTTTTAGAAATTCTGCCCAATATTCTTAGAAACAGTGTGTCACCAAAAATGTCGCACTGGATTTTATTTGCTCGTAACTACACCTTTTCCAAATTGTATTTCAGAAGGTGTCAAATGTATTTCAGAATAGTCAAATGTAGTTCAGAAAGCGTCAAATGTATTTCAGAATACTTAGTTGAATGTAGCCGTGTTCGTTTTTGTCATCTTTTTTGTCGATTTGCTCCGAAATTTTGACAGGCACGTGATTTGTGAATTGAAACTGTCAGAGAAAATCGACAAAAAAATGTCAAAAACGAACACGGCCTGTATTTCACAAAGCGTCAAATG